GTTTTGTATTTAAATTCAATGAGCGTAATAATTTATATATGCGTAAATTTATTTTTCAAACATGTATTTCCAGTTGAAAATATGCCACCCCGTGCATCGCACGGGTGAATACTAGTTTTGAAGTAAAAAGTATATATTTTAGTAGTGTTATTTTATATTATAGTAAAAAAAAATATATAAAAAAATATCTAAAATTACATAAAGGAATAGAGAATAAAAAAATGGTGGTGGTGGGGTAGAAAAACACATATTTATATAATATTAGATCAATAAGCAATTAAAAAAAGTACGAGTATTTTTCTTTTTTGAGGGGGCGACTGCCCCCTGCCCTTTAGTAAATACGCCCCTAGCATGTATTTATGGTTGGATGTATATATCTTCATTGTAAAAAAAAAATATATAGAATTTGGATGTCGTAAATTGTATTCAATTCGTAAACTTTTTCTTTATTTATTAGTGATGCAAATCATTTAAATTTGCATCACTAATAATTAAATAAAAAATATATAATTGCATGCATATTAAGTCGTGATTTATCCAAAAACAATTAAATGATGACTTGCAAACACATGAATATTGCAATGAATATTAAAGATTTAAACATTAAATATATAGATGGTTTGGAAAGTATATAGCTTGAATTAATTATATAAAGACACAAAGGAATTTAAATAAGATAATTGCAGAAATCACAAATTTAATTAAATCTATATAATGAAAAGCTCTTCCGAAGCAATCAATTATTTTTCGATGACGATCCACCTCGACCTGAAATATTACAACACACCTCGTACACGTTCAGTTTGATATAAACTAAAATAAAATTGCTTCTAATTATTTACTAAAACGAAAAGTAAAATATCGGAGTAAAAAACTCACCATTCTCATTCATTGCGTTAAAAATACGTAAATGCGGATCGACGGGTAGACCCATGGCTTGATACCTTTGATCGTACAATGTGTACCTAGAACAATCAATTTTGTTTCTCGCGTTACTTAAATAAATAAATAGTAACATAAAAATCAATATGGTCTCATAAAAAATATTGGATTATTTTTGTGGAATATATATATATATTTTTGTCCGATTTTACCCTTGTCCAGAAGTGCCCAAAGATAAAAATCCTTGATCGCCTCGCATTAAAGAGATCCAATTTCCAGGGTAATTTGGACCATTATCAGCTTCATAAATCATTCTTCTCTGCATTTTAATTAAGTATTATAAATTACACAAACTAATGTATATACATACTAATTTTATTTTAATTAAATAATGATGTAAGAAATTAAAAAAATGTTATACCTTAAGTGTTGGCGCCAAAGGGCGTTGAGAAGAGGATGAAACACCACTAGCTACATTTGTTGGATTTTGAGTATTATCTTGATTATAAATTCCTGTCGATCTTGATTAAGCGATAATTTACGTTTAATTTGCGATTTTATAAGTTGAGTCGTCGTTTAACATATGAAAATCAAGACTAGTAGGTATTATATTCGAGGATTTCTAGCGATTTTTGAATGGCACGCTAGGGGTACGAACGGTGGAAATTGGATGAGTCGTATCGGGCCGAGTGCAAGCAAAAAATGATATTTTTGCGCAGTACTTAAATACTAAATTTCAAATTCGCTCAGAAAAGATATCTTACCTTAATGAAATCGAAGTGTCGAGCATTGTCGCATTTGGTGACGACGAGTACGCATGATGCGTGTTGAGATTTGGGTTTCCAAATGGTATCTGCGATAAACAAATTTAAAAATCGTAATATTCTCAAAATAAGTTTCTTGAATGTGAATTTCTTCTTCTACTCTATGAAATTCGTGTCATTTTATTATTTCTTTCACCAATTTTGTTCGTTTATCATTAGTGAGTGTTTATGTGGAGATAAATGATCATTTGATAGCAATCTTAATTAATATAAAAAAGATAATTTAATTTGGGCTTTTATACCAAATTAAATATTATTTATTCCAATTCTTAATTTATGCGCATCTATATTAAACGACACTTAAAAACCAGAAGGGAGTAAATTTCACTTCGAGGAACCCTAAAATTAGATATTAGAAAGATTTCCCCAAATAAATTGCTTTGTACCTATGTCATTAACTTAACATAATTACAAAAAAAAAATTAAAAAATAGGTTAATAATAATTATCGCAGAAAATATGCACATATAAATAAGCTTTTATTTGAATTAATAAAAAAAAAATCGAATACCAGAGGTGTCGAAAATAATGTTCCAACTTGTTGAGCTTCTGGATTTTGTAAACCCATCAACAACGCAAGATACGACGATGGCTGAATCTCGAGATCTTCCGTTATCCTACAATAATAAAATAAATAATTAGTAATTTAATTAATTTAATTTTTTTCGACATTGAACGTTTGTTCGTATAGCTACCTCCTTTGTTCGGACGAAAGTGGATTTTCCGGTGATCCTTGCTCCATTTGTACCTGAATAAACATCAACCCTAATTAATTAGCATATATTCTTGGCGAAAATAATAAATATTATTGTTTATTTTATAGGTTTTATAATTTCTAAAATACATAATTGACATGTGCATCATATAAAATAATTTTATTGCAATAAGAATTAACATTACACAGCTTTGTAATCAACTTCGCAATGGAATATTTTTTTGAACTTGGCAAAATAAAATAATAATCCTACATTTATATATAAAGATGAAAAAATTGATATGACAATACAAAAAACATTAAATGCAATGACTGAAATTCAAGGAGGCATAATTAGTAATTACAACGGTAAAAATAATTATGGGTATAACTATTAAAGACTGTACATAATAGGTTAAATAATTCCCTTTGTATCATATTAAATTATTAATTATATGTTAATTGTCACTTAAGGTAAATGAACACAAATTTAGAAATCTAATAAATGTTCTTCTTTTTAATGATAAATGGTAAAATTTGTGAATTAAATGAGCTTTTAATATCTAAACTAACGGGTCTTGAAATTCTAAAGCGACACTTAATATGTATGAATTTTTTTTTATTATTAAAAATGACATTTAATATAAAAGAGAGTAATAAGTTAGTCTGATTTGGTTTATTATAGCTAAGTATCCGTGCTGAAATACAAAACTATTAGGTAAAATGTTCGAAATTCAAACGAAAAAACTTCAGAAAGTAAAATATTAATAGGCTATACCGTTATATGAGAAATGAATCGAATGATAATTCGACCCGTTTGATTCATTTAATTTTACTTGGTGACGGAGCGAATTTATGTTTAGGGCGAACTTTAAGCCACTCTCACAATTGGTTTTATAAATATTTGGTTATAAATATTCGGGTAAAATACAGTGTTCATCTCAAGAGTTTTGTATCGAATCATTTGGTTACTCGTCTTCACAGAAAACATATTTGACTTATGTTTCAAAAACTCAACATTTTTAGTCATTTATGTCAATTTTCCGTTAAAACTAACGGAATCGAGTGTGTGCTCATCAACTACTTAACCGACAGATTAATGGTTAATTGACGGAAATGACAAAAGATGCTAGATTATTAAAACATGAAAGATCAAATGTGTGTTTTGTAAACACATGAACCAAATGTGAAATCGGTATAAACTAAAGAGATGGAAATTGTAATTATCCCATAAATATTCCATTAGTATATTTATATGTTTTAAGTCCACACGATCATTCTCATCAAGCTCACACTCCATACGACATGTTAGAAATTCACTATAAAAAATAAAAATAAAAAATCTAACGGGTCTGTTGAATTTTTCGACCCGATCCAATAAATTGGTTAAAAATTTAGGGATCTTACAAACTTTATTAGAACTAAATGACAAGCTTTCTAAAATTTGTTTCACATCATTTATTAAATTCATTCAAAAAACGTCCCTCTATCAAAAAATTCGAAATTACAGCAGATTGTAAATATACTATGATGAACTATGCTATTATTTAATATTTTTAAGTATGCATCTAGCATTTTTTTTTTACCTGGAACACGTTTTTCTTTTTGTTTTGTTTTTTTTTTATTTTTGGTATTTTTTCATTATATAATTTTTTTCCCCTTCTTTTCTACATAAATTGAAATTTATTATTTTTTTTAATTTTTTTTCGGTCGTATACATCTACAGAAACTCGTAGGAATCATAGTAATCTGTAGTCACCCACAGACATCTTGAAACCCTAAGTCCTCCTTTGAACCCTAGTCGCGAAACACCTATAGACACCCACAGATAACTGTAGACATCCAAATCGAAAAATCTTAAAAATTTCCCCACCAAATCC